TATTGTGGATAACATGTTAACTCTTGTGACAAACATAAATTATAGTTAACAGACAGTTTATGAATAACAGTTAACAGATAATTCATTATAGTTAACAGTTTATAAATAACAGTTAACAAATAATAATGGAAAGTTAACAAATTAAAAATAACAGTTAACATATAATTGATTATAGTTAACAGTTATATTTATCAATTTACCAATTAAGGTTAACATGCTAGGTATTATAGTTAATTCAGCACTTGATTAGACATGCCAGCTCATGATTAGACATATCAACTGATTTAAATCCCGAATTTACCCTTCTCTTTCTTATGTCAGTGGATGTTAACTATTTTCTGTAAAATGTTAACTCTTTTCTGTAACATGTTAACTCTTTTCTGTAACATGTTAACTCTTTTTTGTAAAATGTTAACTCTTTTCTGTAACATGTTAACTCTTTTCTGTAAAATGTTAACTTTTTTCTGTAACATGTTAACTCTTACAGATAACATGTTAATTCTTACAGCTAACATGTTAACTCTTACAGCTAACATGTTAACTCTAACAGCTCACATGTTAACTCTTACAGCTAACATGTTAGCTGTAAGAGTTAACATGTTACAAAAAAGAGTTAACAGTTAATAGAAAAGAGTTAGCATGTTACAAAAAAGAGTTAACATGTTACAGAAAAAGAATTAACATTAATATGCTCACGCGAAGTTCCTCAGGACGCGCTGGCGACGGAGCGGGGAAGGGGCAAAGGGGGACCGAAGGAGGAGGAGGGAGGTGCATCGGGGGAGGGAGGGAGGGTAAAATGGGGATTGTGTATAAAGTTTGCATAGGAACTTGGGGAGAGGGGTTTTTAATAATTTTTTCAAAAAGATGGGGCTGCAGCACATGTTTAAAAGTTGGGGGGGGCTAGAGCATATTGAAAATATAAATTTGGGGCCTTGAAGCAATTTTTCCAATAATAATTAATAGTTAACAAATTATAAATAACAGTTAACATATAATTGATTATAGTTAACAGTTATATTTATCAATTTACCAATTAAGGTTAACATGCTAGGTATTATAGTTAACATGTTAAATGAGAACTATATTAACGTGTATATGACCCGAAATAACAGTTAACGGATAATAGATTACAAATAACAATTAACGGATAATGGATTATAGTTAAAAGTTTACTGAATATAATTATCAATTTACCAATTAAAGTTAACTGAAATAACAGTTAGCTTTAATTGGTAAATTGATCCATTATCCGTTAACATGTTATCCACAATATTTAACATGTTATCCACAAGAGTTAACGTGTTAAACACAAGAGTTAACATGCTAAATATTATGGTTAAAATATTAACTATATGAACTATTAATTATTATTTGTTAACGGTTATTTATAATTTGTTAACTATTAATTATTATTTGTTAACTGTTATTTATAAACTGTTAACTATAATGAATTATCTGTTAACTATTATTCATAAACTGTTTGTTAACTATATTCATGTTTGTCACAAGAGTTAATATGTTATCCACAATAGTTAACATGTTTGCCACAAGAGTTAATATGTTATCAATAAGAGTTAACATGTTAGCCATAAGAGTTAACAAATTAGCCACAAGAGTTAACATATTATCCACAAGAGTTAACATGTTAACTATAACAAGAGTTAACATATAACCACAAGAGTTAACATGTTATCCACAAGAGTTGACATATTATCCATAAAAGTTAACATGTTATCCATAAGAGTTAACATGTTATCAACAAGAGTTAACATGTTAGCCATAAGAGTTAACAAATTAGCCACAAGAGTTAACATGTTATCCACAAGAGTTAACATGTTAACTATAACAAGAGTTAATATAGCCACAAGAATTAACATGTTATCCACAAGAGTTGACATGTTATCCATAAAAGTTAACATGTTATCCACAAGAGTTAACATATAGCCACAAGAGTTAACATGTTATCCATTAGAGCTAACATGTTATCCACAAGAGTTAACATGTTAAACACAAGAGTTAACATGCTAACCACAACAGTTAACTGCACAGAGAACAACATCAAACTCCTTCTCAGTTCAACTGGAGCTTACATGACAACAAACAACAACAGACACAAGAAATCACCATCACAAATTTGTACAACATTTATATATACCACACCTTGAGTTTATTACTTCTTTCTTGATTTTGATATACATCCAAGCCCCAACATGTTGAGATTAGGGGATCCTCACATCTTGAACTGGCCCATAAATACTATAGAAAATAACACGAACCCAAATCAGTTCTAACCCCAAACAACAATTGTCAAACCATCAAAAAGTTCAAAAAGAAAATTTCCCGTAACCTAAAATAATTGGAGACATCCTCTTCTCTGAAAGTGTTATCAGCAAGAAAAGTGTTATCAAACCAACAATGACCATAATGCATTCCGAAAATCTCACCATACAATTTGCAATATCAATAACAATCAAACTGCACAGAGAACAACATCAAACTCCTTCCCAGTTCAACTGAAGCTTACATGACAATAACAACATCAAACTCCGGTCGATCCTCGATTGGCCCATGAACCTGCTCTCATCTCCGGCGAGCATCAGCTCCAACGTCGCAGCCACCCTGAAATCAAAACGAGTCATCAAAATCCACGGAACCCACCGTCGAAAGCCTAAGAAAAGAACTCGGCCTGAAATCAAAACGAGTCATCAAAATCCACGGAACCCACCCTGACGGCGGTGGCGGCGGCGAGGCCATGGCGGCGGCGAGCTTGTCCTCGTTGAGGTCGTGGAGGAACCTGTACCTGTTGTCGTTCTTGCAGAACCCCCTGGCGAGGTAGAGACAGGGGTGACGGAGGTAGCGATGGTGTTGGAGATTTCGAGTGAGGTTAGAGAGAGGGTGGAAGAGGAGATGGGTTTGTAGGAAGAGGAGTAGATCTAGAGAAGATCTGGAGAAGAAGAAGAGGGTAGTCTGAGAATTTTTTATCTTGGAAATTGTAAATGGGGCTGATTCACATGGATTTTTCATTTTTGGGAAAAAAGCACATTAGAAAAAGTTCAAGGGGCTGGGACACATCAACAATTTAGTTTTGGGGCCTTGAAGCAATTTTTCCTATAATAAAAGAGAGGCGCTACAGGCACACTCTAAGGCACACCACCAACCACACTCCGTCTCTCTCTATAGTGCAGGGGGCCCCACATGTGATTTTTTTAAAAAATCACATGTGGGATCCCCTGCACTGTAGAGAGAGGGAGTGTGGTTGGTAGTGTGCCTTAGAGTGTGCCTCTATCATTTCTTATAATAAAAAGGTAGACTCATCTTCAATTGACAGATTTTTTTGGGGGGAAGGTGATCGAACATTCAAGCGAAGTTTGGGGATCGATTTGTGGCCAATGCTCGATTATTAATAAATTTTCTCTTTTGAGTGAGCCCGAACTCGTCGTGATCACCTAGCACAATTCGACGTAAGTCAATGAAATCGCATCAATTTGTTCCGATGGTATAGGTTTTAGATCTCATCTGAACTCGTCGAAGGATTATCCTGAAAAAACAATATTAAAAATTATTATGCACCTTTAGTTTGTTTTTTAATACCGGTTTCTCCCCCTTAATGTCACGGTCAGGCCACATTTGTGCTTTCGGAAATAATCAAGCATTTGTTTTTGCTTAGTATCTGAACGTTACAGATGATATAACTCGTGATTCATGTTGCATTATGTATCTTTCACCAATTTTTTGGTGTGACTGAACATATTTAAGTGCATCATTATTTTTATACCAATATAGATTGAAAAGTCAAATTCTTTCTTGTTTTACTTAAAACAATGGTACTAAAATTCTTTCTTATTGTTTGAAGCGAATAATAGACAACTAGTGACAAATGCCCTAGAGAATATAAAAATACGCTGATTGCCACAGCAAATGTAGTCCAGGGTTCTTCAGTTACCATCATAGCCCCCCACGCCTTACAATGTACATTAAATCCCTCAGCAAATCAACTATTTCTATTAGAGCATCTTCAATGGTATACTCTATATTTAGAGGGTTTGAAGAGAATATTCTCCAAGATTTCTCAAATATAGAGGGTTTGCAACAGTTGTGCTCTAATGATGCCCTCTATATTTATATTAATTAATCTATCATTAACAAACTAATGATGTAAATAAAATAATTAAAACTTAACATTTTTTACAAAAATTATATCTTTAGAATAGTCTCGCCGAAATCTTTTAAATGGGATTAATATTGAATATTTTTAGAGTAATTTTTAAATTAGTTTATTTTAATATAATAAAATAAAAATATTCATTAATAAAACAAATACGTGAGGATCTATATAACCCGCCCAAAAGGAACTACATTCAGAAATACAAAAATTACATTATATAAGTAAAATACGATAACAACAAACTAAAATTTCGGTAGATCATTTCCATACCTACCGGTGCCGTACTGATACCCTGACGGACCCCAATGAGTCAATGACGTCCCCAATATCCAGTTCCTCCTAAAACATGAGTTAAACTATCAAATTGAAAATCACCGCTATTTCTGCTAATGATTTGTTGCTTTTTCCTCTCAAAAAATGCATGTTTCCTTACATCAATATTAAAATCATTAAATATTAGTCTCATTTTGAAGGTTTTGACAAATCAATTTCAATGATATAATTTTTATTTAAAATAAACGAGTAAATTTAAAATTATATTAAGTTAAATAATTAGTTTAATTATATTCAAAGATACAACTGGTATTTATGAAAAGTTATAAATGAGATGAGAGTGCAAAATTAAAATTAAAATATATGAATAGTGTTTTAAAGGGATCCCTCTATATGAGCCAAAACCCTTCAAATATGGAGTGTCACTATAGCACCCTCTTAATATAAAGAGTGCTACAGTTCCCCCATTGGAGCCAATGGTACGCCATTTTTAGAGGAATGACGTACCATTGGAAATGCTCTTACAACAGATTCAACAGTCGTGTAACTCATAGTAATACATATCTCAAACAATGATCACTAAATTCTCATAACTCAACAAACAACTAGTACTTTCAAACCTGTATGGGAAAAAAACCCCATTATCAACAAAAGAATAGATTACAAAAAGTACATCAACAAAAAACATCGAGAAAACTCGAAACTAGTTAACTTTAACAGCTTTTTCCTTGCACAACATATGCCACTCTTGAATCACGGCTGCCTGAAGAGCTCGGTGTTCTACCTCTTCTGCAGTAGGAGCCGATATCGTGGAGGGTCCTTTCGGTAATCCATTTTCATCAACATCCTCCTTTTTCTTCTTATCTTCCTCATTTTCTTCTTCTTCCTCTATCTTTGGGGGTTGAGGTTTAGGCCTGGCTGCTTTAAGCAAAGCTATTCTCTCCATTGAAATTTTCAGCCTTTCAGCAGCAGCAGACTTCACTTCATCTTCAGGCATGTATTCAACTCCGCCATCGGTTATGTCATCGAGCCAGCCTTGCACATCTGACCCTATTTCCTTTATGATTGATGAGTCAGATGCGCGCACAACAAATTTGCACATCATGGTGGTGGTTTCATCTCCAAGGTCCACATTTCTGCTTACTTCACTAGCGCCGAAGACCATCATTCCCAAGAAGCCACCGTGCCAAGTTTTAGCAGCGAAGCATAACTGTCAGTGAGAAGATTGGGAAAATAACAAGATTAGTGATGTTAATACTGAAATTTCTTAGGAAAAACTAACAAGTATACAAGGTGTGATATGTCCGTCCACATAGGGGTCATTTGGTTTGTGGATTGCATCTCAAAGGATTTTGACACATGTAAGGGGCTTTGAAAAATCCATACTTAAAAAATCTTGTTTGTTTGCAATGAATATTAAAAATAAATCGCATGAAGGATAAAATCCAACAAAAGTTTTATTTGCTTTCACTTGAATTTTGTTGACATCTGACTAAAATCATAAATACCACTGAAATCCAACACAATTATAGAGAATTATAGTTGATGCATCTATCCTACGTGGAAACCCCAAATTTATCGTATGAAAAATACCAACAAACAATGGGTTCACAAAAATCCAGAACTGCAAACTTAGCGTGTCCCATTTCTCAATGCAAAGTTGGAAAAATCCCCACCAATCGCATGGAAGCAAACAACTCCTGGTTGGCTGGTGTGTCGCTGACATGTCAGTATGGTACACATCCAAGATAGGGATGTGCCAGGCTAGCAATACACCCCAAATATGTGGCCCACCTATACTCAAAACTAATAGTAACTCCAGCATTTAGTCATATAGGCATTTTACCATTAAGAGGAACTTAGAAACTGAGAAACTTCATTAGGAGATATATCTGATGTACTACCAACAAGCTGAGAAATTCTATAAAGCATAGACCAATAACATACTAACAATGAACAGATGAGGAACTCACTTGAAACCCTGCAACTGTACGAATTATGTGTGAGCAAACTGGATGGAAAGGCTTCGACGAAAGGGATTTCAGTCCACTCAGAAACGGGGATGCCTCACTTTGTTGTGCAGCGGTAGCCTTAAAGCCACTTCCTTCGTAAGTGTACGTACCAGTGTACTCCAGGATAGCTGGTAGACTTGGCCACAGTCGAAAATATTCAACAGGCGAACATTTATGAGGCAAGAGAAGGTCAGTCAGTGGAATCTTATAAGGTTGACACCTTAAGATCACTGGCTCTCCAAGCTCTGACTTTAGGGTTCTCTTCTGTCGCAAGATTTGAGGATCTTCACTTTCATAATCTCCTTCGTAATCTCCAGCAGTACTTCCATAAAACGGGTAGTATAACACTTGAACCCAAAGGGCACATCTCTCAAAATGTGAGACTCCAACAGTTACACTGCTGAGGACTGGATCCTACAATTGAAACAAAATGCAAATGCCATAATTAATTAATGCAATTCTTATGTGATCGCAGAATATCTGAGACTGAAAGGAGAATTCCCTAGAATGGTTATAAGACTAACAATGCTTTATGATCTGAATATTAGGCAATTAAAAAACAATATATATAAAAAAATTAGTATAGCGGAAATGAGAATGTTACGTTAGTCTTGTGGGTATACACTATAGAATAAGAAATGAATGCATCCGTAATAAATTAGAGGTTGCTCATATTGATAATTAAATGCGAGAAAATTGACTAAGGTGCTTTCGTCATGTACAACAGAGACCTCTTAGTACACCGGTTAGAAAAAGTGAATATTATAGTTAATAGGGGCAAAATGGTCTAGAGGTAAACCTAAAAGAACTTGATTGGAAGCAATTAAGAAGGATATAATAATGGTTAATTTAATGAAGGAAATGACCCATAATAGAGTGAAACGGAAGAATAGGATCCAGGTAGCCGACCCAAATATTTGAGATATACGCTTTGTTGTTGTTGTTATTGTTAAAATACATACAACTCTTCAAACTATGAGAATCATGAAAGGGCATTAGCTAGCTTTGCATTATTCACACAATCACACGTTAAATAGAGAAACTCATGTAAGACCTAATTATCCTTCTCTCTAGATTAATTTTCCTAAATGATGTTTCTGCTTCTTAGATAACCAGCAGCTTACATAAGCAGATATGGAGTTTCCACACCATAAGGTGAGTTTATCACATAATTACGGAATTAATTGAGGTGGATTTATGAAACATGAACATCAAATAGTGGGGAAGCGAAAAAAGATCAGTGGTGCATTGGGGAGCATGGTCTTGCTTTTTTCAAATAAAATTGTAGGATTTCTTCAACCTTAACTTGTGTCATGGGGCTTCACTGCTTCAACTTGGTTTGGACAGCTTTTTTTTAAGAGGAGACAGGAGAAGCTGGAAAGGTTACAATGCTAACCACCCAAAAGTTGTATTTGTTTACATTTTTTTAGGGAGGGGAAGGGTTGTGGGGTTAAAAAGAAGCAAATTTCCTCACTTTCCTAACCCTCCAAAAGTGGACAGATTGGAAGGGGAGGGATTGAGTTTTAAGTGATCTTTTTTTAAAATTCCAATACTATCCCTAGACTTAAGTCATATTTGTCACTTAGTCTCCCTCCTTCCCTATTTCTTACTCTAAGCAAACACAAACCATAATTTACCCTCACTTCCCCTAGTTGTCTATACAAACACAATTATTTCTATCATTTCCCTCCCTTCTCACTCCCCCTTCCTTTGGGATTATTATAATCATTTCCCTCCCCTACCCTCTTTTGTATCCGAACCCAGTAAGTTGGTGATCAACGAAGGAAAGTGCTACATTTATTTTTATAACCTTAAATACACTGAAGAATTTCTAGGAAGGATATCAATTGAGATACCGCATCCAAAGCCTATCCAAACAGTTACAAGTTATAATGCCCATCTGACACAAGAGATGGGAACAGAAGGAATACCTCAGGCTCGGGATGCATGTAACTTGAGAGGATCGAAATAACTACAGTGGAACGATACCTGATATACATAAATTAAGTAGTCACCTTATCTATTTAGGAAAAGCCATTCATAAAGGAGCACTAGCGGGTTGTTCCTGACTAAGGCAGGGAACAGAATCATACAGCTAAATGTATGGATAAAAAAAAAATGAGCACTTGAGCAATTCAAGCTTTCGAGGTGACAATGGATTGATGAATGCTTTCTAGTTCTGAGTTTTGAATGTAAAAGTTGTCTAAGCTTGAAGCTAAATGAACCTACTAACGTTTTAAAAGAAAATGAATGGCATGTTTATTAAACTTGTTTGGATCTAATTTTTATCAGAGGAAAAGAGTTACCATATGAATTCAATATCTTGACAATGCACTCTTGAAGTGATCTTGGACCACATATTAGAAGTATGTGCACCAGAGATGTTCCAGAAAAATTCTGGTCTGATGATTGCTCATGTTTTTGACACCCCTCCCAATACTATGTTTATAAAGAAAATTTTAGCATGATCATTGCACATGTTCCTTACATCTCTTTCTATGCTCATGTTTAAGATATAGCTAAAAAGTTTAACAAACAGCAGATCAATATTGTTTATCCCCATTATTTCTTGACTGAGTTCATTAATCCTATGTTAACCTGAGAGAGCTGGTTAGATATTTGGACATTTCATTTATTATAACTGCAGATGCCAGTATCCATTTGCACATGACAAAGAACAGTTTGTGTGCTATAAGACCAGATGAATTATCATGAAGCTCTAGGGATGATGGTTTGCATTTGATTTTCCTAACAGTTATTAAAGTTTCAACTTCCAAGAGCTTACACAATCGCTTCTTGTGCTTTGAAGTTCTATCACTTACCATCAATCACCAACATGTGGTTAAGAGCCATAAAGTCAACATATATCATGTTTTATCTTTGAGAAATCTGAATGATTCTAGTAAGTAGTGAGAGATCATTCACAAAAGCCTCACTAAGCAATCTACTCCATTCTCAAATGTTTTAGTAACATAATTATTGCCCCTTTTGATATGTGGTTAAATACAGGTGTCCCTTTTGATATGTGGTTAGATACAGGTTCATGCTTGATGTGATAGATCCGCATTGCTTGTAATAAAGTGATATCAAAGATTTTTATTTATTTATTTATTTATTTTGGAGAAATCTGGAAGATTCTAGTGGTGGTCATTAACAAGAAGACCAACTTCAGAAAATGTACTTCATTATTATCCCTTTTAATATGCGGTTAGATACAGGTGCATGCTTGATGCAATAGATATGCGTTGCTCGTACTAAAGCAACATCAAAGATGTTTTTTATTTGATAAATCTGGAATATTCTAGTGAGAGGCTGTTAACAAGAACTAACTTTAGAAACTATACTTCATTATCAACTTTTTACGTATATGTTTGAACAACACACATTTAGAAACATAATGTACTTCATTATTATCCCTTTTAATATGCGGTTAGATACAGGTGCATGCTTGATGCAATAGATATGCGTTGCTCGTACTAAAGCAACATCAAAGATGTTTTTTATTTGATAAATCTGGAATATTCTAGTGAGAGGCTGTTAACAAGGACTAACTTTAGAAACTATACTTCATTATCAACTTTTTACGTATATGTTTGAACAATACACATTTAGAAACATAATGTTTCATTGTTTTAGATCTGTGGAAAACACAATAGTACTTTTTTCTCAAAGAAGGAAAGAGATTCAAGTAAGTAGTGAGTGACCATTCACAGGAGTCTCACTGAGCAATCTACGCCATTCTCAATGTGTGCTATATAGCAACATAATTATTATCCCTTTTGATATGTGGTTAAATACAGGATCATGTCTGATGCAATAGATATGAATTCCTCCTACTAATGTAATAAACCTAATTTCCAGACTATAAGAAGTACAATTTTGTGTTTGTACGAACTACTAAATGTTGTTTGTAAATATTAGATTACAAGAGGGTTTAAAGGGCTATAATGACAATAGGCACAGTAATATTTGTAATAGAGCTTTTCTAGGGGTTTAACGTAAATAAGATCTAAAATATAGAAAACCCTATACCAAGTAAATTTCTATAACCGCCTATCTTTTGTCTCGGGTGTTTCTTTTCTCCTCAGTGGTTAAAAAAATAATAGTGAGAAAAAAGAAAAGAATAATCTTAGGCGTTAAATGAAGACAAAGTGCTTGGATCGGGAAGGATCAGCAAGGTATAAAGCCTGTTACAAGTACATGAATATGAAAATACATGCTTTGATCCTTTGATTGAAAGATTTAATTTCGACGCAAGCCTTTGACCAAAACTAGTTGATGCTTCTTTTACTTTCAATTGTCTAGTTTCAAGTTTGTTCTATAACCCACTGTTTTAAATATCGGCCGATAATCGATATTATCAGCCAAGTTATCGGATTTGGGAGCTCTCTGCTAGGATAAATTGGATTTTTAATCGGTTATCGTTTTTGTAGGTTTATCGGCGATTTATCGGCGTTATCGACACTTATCGGCCGATAAGTAAGATTTTTTTATCGGGATTATCGGCTCATTTTAACTAACATTATATTTTTTCAAGGCTATGATGCAAGTTTCGCTTTCTACAATTTGTTAGTGATTCTAAACATGATGATTTACATTTTGGTATGTTTATATTTCATTAAGCATGATTAGATTATATTTTTTAATTGTTATATTATATATACACATCATCCAGTATATCACTCCGATAAATACTACTTATCCCCGATATATCCCGGATTTCCGCTATCCGATAAGGATTTTGGCTGTCCGATAAATCCCCGATAACCGATATTTAAAACCTTGCTATAACCTACCATCATTTATCCATAGCTATAATTTCTTATAAAGCCTTCTCATGTGCAATAAGTTTTAATTATCCAGCGAGAGAGGTGCAATAATCTTAATTTTCAAATTTTGATTTTATTCCTATTCTAAAGTATGAGGTTTCCTGATCTTATCCTTTGTAGGATATAATTGTTTGACTGATCCCTTGTACCTTTAATATATATAATTCTTTAATAAGGGTGTGATAGTGCAATACTAATACTTATATAATTATATGTATATTCCATAGGGTAGAGATTTCCACATAGGTGTTGTGTGCAGAATTTGGATTTCGATGTATTCAGTAAGTGGTGAATTTATGCATTGTGCGCTACGTATTTTTTATATAAAATTATATTAAAAATATGTAGATTTGTTCTTGATGGATTACATCCTTTGTATGATTTACTGGTATATCATTTGTTGATTGATTTGATTTTGTGATGCTCATGGATAGTTTGGTATAAGCTTAAGCTTATTTTACTTTGTCGATAATCATGTCTTTTTCATATAGGAGTATATTGAGATGCATATGTTGTTGATTTCACCATTGGTTGTCCTTAGGCATTTTTTATAAATATTTAGTTATATGAACTTTGTTCATTTATCATAAAATATATGCATATTAAGTCAATATACCAGTATATGTCAGGAATACGTAAGTCATCTAAACAGGGCTCAATGTGCCTTTATGAGGTTTTTTATTTTAACGCTAAGAGGTCAAATTTGGGTCTCATCGTCCCGACCACGGGCTATATAATAGTGGGGTTTGCCAAATCAACTGGAGTATCGAAGTGTTAACCGTATTGAGACGTGATCTGCTTATTTACATTGCATGAATATATTTTAAAAAAATATTGCATTATGATTTTATACTATTTTAATATTTTGCTTATCAAGTCAAATTATTTTAGTTTTCAAAACAAGTGTTTAATGCATGAATTTATCCACTTATTGAGTTGTGAACTTATTGTGTTATATTCATTCTTTTCAGAGACTCGAGATTAGGTGGAGTTGGTGGTTCCTAAATTATTAGAAGGGAGCAAAGAATAAAATTTATAAATTGCTACTTTTTTTTTAGGTGAAGGTTGAATAAAGTCTTTGATGTGTAGTTGATAATTGGAAGCTTTGTAATAATGGAATATTTCTCTTTAGTTGACTTTTATTACAAATTGAGGAATATTTGTTTATCTCAAGTTAACTAGATTAATATTGACTTTTAGATTATAGAGAATATATGTTGCTGGTTTTATTTCAGTGATGAGATTATTTTGGTGGTCTTTTGATGAATGTAGATTTTTGGAGGATATTTTCACATGTTTAGTCCGGCTCCAATATTCCTTTTAGGTTTGAAAATTGGGGTCGTGACAACTAAAGTAATATGAAAGATGTTTTTTGTTTCAGAAATTTGGAAGAGTCTAGTGAAAGGTCATTAACAAGACCAACTTTATAAATTTCACTTCATTATAAACTTTTTTGGTTATATGTTCGAACAACAAACAATTAGAAATACAACTTTTTATTATTTTTGATATATGCTAAATACAACATAGTACTTTTTCTCAGGAAAGGAAAGTGATTTACTTCAAATTGCTCCCTTTACCTATGTATTAAATGGTACGTACAGAAAGAAAATTAGTTACTGGTCCTTACAAATATTGTGTTGCACATAACAATACCAATTGCATCCTGACCTCAGAAAGGATATATTTATCACATTTATGTATGTATTAGATGGTGAAATAAGAAATCTAGCTGAGAGAGGGGAGAAGACCACTTTCAGTAAACTAAAACTGGTAAATCAGATGAATAAATTTGGTTACTAATTGTGTGAGCTACCCGAGCACGGTAAAATTTAAAAGCCTATAAATAGGTTTCACGAAGTGAAAATAGTTATAACTCTTATGTGTTTATATCCCTTTGATATGGTTGTCTCATATACATTAAAAGGTACATTGCTTAAAGCTCAAGGATTTAATGGAAAAGGGATATGATCAATATTATCAAAGGTGCATGCCTCATTGCGCCTCATGTGCCCTGCAATGTAGGGGTAGTGGCGAAGCGCCCTGCATTTAATGTGGTAGCACCTTTTTACACCTCATAAACGAGCTTCTTGAGGGCGCTTTACACAACGTGCATGCAATGCATAACCTCACAGTTTTGTATTCTTTGACATTTTAATCGGATCTTTATGCCCGATAACCCCTGCTCTAAAATGAAAACTTCACCCTTAGGAATCTTTAGTAGCCTGATTGAGGATCATAACTCCTTCTCCTTTACTATTTGACTTTGTTGAGATATTTGTCTTGATTTGACTTTTGATTTGGAAAATTATAATCTTTACTACTATGTTGGATGTGTTAGCATTATGACTTAGAATCTTATTCGTTGTTTGGTAGTAGATATTATTTATTTTGACATACTTCTATATCAGAATTCATAAACATGTATTTTCATGCTTGATTATCTACCTTGAAAAATTATGTGCGCAGTATGCACCTCACTTCACTCAGGTATGCGTATAGCATTACACCTTGCACACGCGTGTAAAAAGGTTTTGTGCTCCCCATTGTGCCTCGCATATTGATAACATCAGAGTCATTAACAACTTGAGTTTTGGCTGAATTGTTTTTAAATATTTCATTTTGTTCACATAATCTTACTGATTAAATTTTACTCATTGATTTTTCAGTACAAATCATGAAAGCTTTCTTGCAGTAGAATGATCAAGGAATAAAAATAGTGCAACCAGTAAATTAACCCAGATAAATTAACTCTAAGTACTCGAATAGTCAAGAAGAAGCATATCAACTCTAATTACTCGACTAGTCAAGAAGAAACATATCAACTCTCAAACCTCAAATCAACAGGATAAATTGGTCAAGTCGTATTATCCGCAGAAAAAGGCATGGAAATACATAAAATGGTGACACGCGTATATAAATGCAGACTTGAGTGTCATGAACAAACCTGTGAGACAAGATGTCGCAATTGCCGAACTGCTTGGGGAGATCCATCCATATAGTATAGTGCTCCAGTCAGTCCAACCCGGATATCCACCCTATTAAGTTCTAACTCAGTCAAGTTTAGAATCTGCAACAAGTTTTCTTGATCAGAACTCGGAAGATACAGTAGTTAATCCTGAATAAATAGCAAAATAAGCACAAATTATCTATGAAATTAGGATGAAGTACAAAAATACACAATACTAAGTTCTAGCTCAGTCAATTTTAGAATATGTAGCAAGTTCTATTAGTCAAGATACGGTATTTTATCCTAAATAGGTAGCACAATAGGAACAAATTATCAATGAAATTAGGATGAAAAATAAAACAACATAATCTTCTGTAGCCTAAGATTTCTTGCGCCAAGGAGTAATCTTAGCTCAGACTGAAGTGGAAGTTTGGTGCTTGTATTTTAAGGGACGCGTCTAAATCACACCTATGGATACATCTAAATCACATCTAAAACAATCTGGGGTTTAAAAAAATTAAGACACAAAGATACGATATAATAGTAGGGTAGACATTTAATATAGGCTTAATAGCAATTAAATACCTTATAGCTTGCTCACATTTGCTGTTATGTACCCTTTATTTTTTTTACATTTATATACGCTATTGTTTCCCACTGTGTAATCAAATTAATATCTAGTTTTTCGTTGAATGGATGAAAATACCCTTTTAGAGATAGAGGGAGTGAGGGAGATGTCGGCAATGGAGGGTCGCTGGCGATGGGTTGCCGCATCAAGGGTCTTGTTAGGGTAGCGGGAGGGAGCCCACGCTCTACTGGAACCTACCATCAATGGCCTCCTTTCTCTAACCAAATCTAAAACCTCCCTCCAATTGCTTTCCATTCCTAACCCTCTTTAAAATCCTCTCCCCTCAGTTTCTCTTACCCCCCAATCTTCCCTCTTCTCCCCTGATGCCCACACTCTCCTCACCAACAACAAAGCCCATTGTCTGAACTTCCCCATTCGAACTCTCAACTCTCCTTCCAAAAAAGAGGAAGAAAGCAATGAACAGAGAGAAAGCCCAAGTGGGGGAGATGGAGCTTTTCCTGCTTCTAGGTCCAAGCAGAATTTGAGATGAGCAATGTTTGTTACTTTTATACAAGTTAGTTTTCTTGTCAAGCTCAGGATGTTGTTTGTGCTCCCTGAGAGAGATAAAGTTTGTCAATTAAGCCCAATGAAGGAGGTTTGGCTCTTACCCATTTTCTTAAACTTAGGCGGACGGAGAGATAGAAGGAGAGATGAGGGTTTTTTAGTTATTTTAGTAAACTTCTGTGGTGTCATAGAAGGAGAGATGAGGGTTTTTTAGTTATTTTAGTAAACTTCTAGGGTGTTTTTTGACATTTTTTTGTCATGTGAAAGTCTAGTGACAGGCAAACGCAAGGAGGTAACATGCTATTTTAAAAAAACTTAACGATATTAAATGTAAAAAATAAAAGATAGGGTGTATAAATGCAAAGGCAAGTAAACTCTAAACTATTTAAGTGAAATTAAGCCTTTAATTTAACAAAGTAGTCACATCATGTTCAAACATTTTCCACAAAAGTAAGGTCCGCTAAGAAGCGGTGAATTAATAAGTAATGAATTATTTTGTCTAGTATAGCTAGTTGCAACATAAGAAAGTTAAGAGGCAATGGACAGTAAACATAGAGAAAGCTATAAACAGTAACATTATGTTGCATCAGAACCAGTTAAAAAAGTTAATTCAAGAAACGGCGTTGGTCAGAAGAGAACCTTTAAATGCATTGTTATTCTCCCATCAATTGAATCTGCCAAATGATATGCTTCAACATAACAAGGATCACTACTACCAGTGAGAGTAAATGCCTTGGGAGGTACTTTAAGATATGTGGAATCAGTGCCTTGCGTTAGGAGAAGGTTTAATTCACTAGGATCAGGCCTCCAAAGCTCTTGAATGGCCTTGTGAACTAATCCTTCCAATTTTCTATCCTGTGCTGCAGATGCTTCAAAAAACTGAACTGTGAGCTTGTGGTGGCTGAATGGGTAGTCTCCTGTAGTATCACTTACGCCAGCCCATCTGAGAAGAATATAATAATTACTCAAAATTTATTAAATTTCATTAGTTTGTTGCATGACCTAAAAAATAAAATAAGCAAAAATAAAAAAAAGGATAACGATAACCTAAAAGAACACAATAGTTACAATGAAATGTAGCAATTTGCAGTCAAGTGAGCAATACACCTTTATGTAAGGGCCAAAACAGTAGACTAAGCAGCTTCTTTTTTTTGGGGGGTGGGGGGTGGGGGGGGGGTTAAAGGTTTACTAATCCTTTTAGATTATCATAAGATCTTTGGAAAGAAACAAGAACTCTATAGAAATTTGTTACGACATATGTAGTCATACAGTTACAAACCATAGTTTATATTGTACAACAATCAAAAGCTTACATGTCATACATGTTTCTTTTTTATGTCAATGCCCAGAATGAAAAAGCCAACATAGCCACATTCCTTACCTCTTGTTGTAATTTCTCATGCAAATGCACAAACCTTAACTTCACTAACACTAAAACATGTCCTAATAAAAGATACATTCATCAGGACCTATATATCCTAAGCCTACCTAAAATCCACATTTGCACCTGTCATCACCAAAGACTGCTATACATGGAGCATAATATATTGTCAAACCTAACCTAGAGCCATAGAATTGTTGTCAACCTAGGAAGCATGAATTATACCAGTTTTAGCTCCTTAAAGAGTTTCTGCTTAATTCTCAAGCATTATCTCCCAAAACCAAGGTACAATCTTGCAATCGTTAAGTAAGGCTTAATCTTCTTTTCCAAGTTGCATATTATGAATCATCTCATGCTTAAATCAGCAGATTTCCCCCACTGTTCCATCAATCCTTTAATTGAAGTACTACAATGATGACCTGATAATGTAGGCAGAAGCTAACCTAAGAACATAAAGAAGACAAAGTTTCATTTTGCTTCTAGTGATAAGGTGAAGCTTTGTAGTTGTCAAAGTAATTGCAGATTCGCAACAGTAACCTACAGCACGAAGCCAACATTTGAGGTATAACATATGAAAATATTTAAATTTATATGGGATCAAGGGCAATAAATTGATACTAATTAATCACCGTCATCATCCAAGCTTTTTCTTGTTCAAACAGAGTTTCATCTATAAATTAAAACTCCATAATCCATCTCAAGGAAGATCACAGTTCAAAAAGGAGGGAAAAACTTTACAACTGGCTCTCAGTGTCACATGTTGATATTAATAATCACCAATCATCATCCGAGCTTTTTCTTGTTCGAACAAGTTTCATCTATAAACCAAAACTCCATAATCCATCTCAAGGAAGATCACAATTCATAAAATAACTTTATGATTGGCTCAATGTCACATATTGATGTTCAACATTTTGGGCTGGCGTCATCGTACTCAGATGAGCTCCAGATGAGAAGATTGTGCACTTTCACCTCTTAGGATTGCTAAAACATATCACTTTAAAAAGGGGTTTTTCATGGGAACCACCTTAAATATAAGTGAAATTGATACAAATCACCTTATATATGTGTTATCCTCTCAACGTCACACCTCCGTCACTATTCAGCCCAAATTTTATTAAAATACCCATTTTACCCCCGTCTTCTCCATCTCCCCCGCCCCCCTTTCATTCCTTCATTCTCCTCTCAATCTCCTCTTCTTCCTCCTCTCCTCTCCCTAACCTCCTTTTTCCTTTCACCTCCTCTATTCTCGCCTTCCTCGCCTCTTCCTTCTTCTCCTCCTCTTCCTCCTCTTCTCTCTCTATTCTCACTGCTGGCTCCAACCTCCTTTCCTCCTCTCATGTCATCCACCCGATCAACTTCCCTCCTCTCCTCCTCTATTTTTTTTATTTGGTTAGAACGAGGGGTATTATAGTAATTTTATATTTTTGAAATCAGGTTTTACCCAAAAGTGTGACATTGAGAGGATAACACGTATGTAAGGTGGTTTGTATTAAAAAAACATTAAAGGTAGTTTGTATCAATTTCATCTGTATTTAAGGTGGTTCTCATGAAAAAAACCCTTTAAAAATATGAATAATACTCAGTGGAAAAGTTTGTCCAATGAACTGAAAATTGGAAAATTTTGACCAATGAACTGGAAAATAGATCAATGATATGATAGTAAAACAATTCAACACAACAAACAAAAGAAGCCTGCAAGGATTAAAGACCTTACAGAAACATGATTAAAGAACTGACCTGTTATCTGGGTGACTAATGACATACTTAATTGTCTGCAAAATATAACGGCATTGATGCTTGTTTACAGAATCAGCGGAGGTACTACCACGAAAATCTTCAAGTTCTTTACTAAGAAGCTGGCCGGCTCTTGCGTTTCGTGATCCGACGCGTTGAGCGCATAGTAGTACAGCTTGCACATCCTGAAGCCTGTTTGAACTTGTTGCAGATGAATCGGTGCTGAACAACACTTTGTGTATGTTTGCAACAATAATGTTCAATGGATCCTCTGGGTCATCTGCTAGAAGAGGATCCAGACCTTCCAGATCTAGGTGTTCAGCAATAGCCCATATCAGGCGTGCACATATTCTTGGTGTATGAACCTGAAAAGAAGCAAAAATGCTTCCAAGGTTACTAGAATGGCGTCATATGCAAGTTTCATGATAGGTGAAGAAACAGAACATGAGGATTCATCTCTGGACTAAAATCATGTTTATGGCTCAAAAGCATGATATTGGTAGCATAGTTTTGGAAAAGAATGGATGTGAATGATGACCATGGCATTGGTAGCATAGTTTTGGAAAAGAATGGATGTGAATAATGACCATGGCATTGGTAGCATAGTTTTGGAAAAGAATGGATGCTAATGATGACCACGGCATCAACTGGATAGCAAAACCATGGAAATCAATAGCTTCAATGATATCTTATATTGGCACTTGAATCTTACATCCATCAACTTTTAAGATCATATTGGCAAGTCATTCTGGGTAAAGCTTATGACTAGGTGTGTATGACTGACCCTAATTGAGAATCCATGCATATGACTGGACTTACATGAGATCCTTCATGGAAGGGAAGTAGGGTACATGAGTGAGAAGAACCATTACAACAAGAACTAGAATGCCTGCAATGACAACTTCACTTATAGAGCGCTACTAATAGATGGTGCATTCCATTTTGGACAAGAAAAATTGCACTAGAATTTCCACCATTATAAACAACCTAAGGCATAAACAAACTGAAGCACAAAAAATTAGGTTACAGCTGAGACCTGACTTTTGAGGAACTTGAAGTGTGAACCTTCCAAATTAAGAGAGTTTAAGAACCAAAACCCACATAATAATAAGAGATTAAAAAACCAATGAAAAGACTGCATCATTAAGCTCCTTGAAAATCTAAGTTGCACTGTAGTATTTCAAAGTTTCCTATTTGAGTGGGATTCATTCACCAATCTCCTCTTATTTTCCTAAGAAATGATGATATGAAGAATGCATTGAACTTATTTACAATTATAAACATGGTTACAGAAAAAACCTCGCGAAGATCTTTTATCAGTTGTAGTTGTAAATTCCGAAGTCTTGTCTCGTTGAGAATTTGATCCTGAGAAGCCCCATCTTTAATCGTTTTGACACCTCCCCTTGTATCATAAATATGGCAAAGCCTCACAAGCAACTTTAGGTAGCAGTCTATGGCATAAGTCCTCCCATCACAGTCCCAAATAACACAAGGTTTACAAACTTCAACAACCTCCAGAGCTGGTTCTGTCCAGTTTAATGCACCATAACCAGTTCCGTAAGCCAAAGCACCAATAACTCTGCTCTCAGTACCAGAAGTCTTTTGTTCAGGCAGCGGCAAAGATAACTGGAAACAACTTTCTACCAGTGAAGCAACCAGTTCTTCTCTGAACAGGCTTTTACTTGTTACACTATTCAAATCATCCTTGATTCTCACATCCTCAAAAAGAGAGGCAATATCTGTCCCAGGAAGAGGTTTTTGCCCTCTCCGAACACTTTCCTTAGCAAAAAGATCAACACAAAGGGCTGTACGACAAATGCAAGCCAAAGCATGCATCCTGTCTGACTCAGCCCTCAAGTTCCTCACCATAACAAGGAGGCGTTTAAACAATTGAACCTGCAGGCAGAATACAAGTTACATACCTTAGGTGTCATCGAATAACAGAAGTAAAAAAATGTCAAAAGATAACAGATCTGATACATTGTTATTATCTAAGTTAATGTGTGTCCCAATGTCCTGATTATGATGTGTGGTTCGCACATTTACCAACCAAGGAGCAATAGCTAGTCCAAAAGATCACTCAAGACTATAATCAATGAAAAGATGACAACAACAACAACAACAACAAACCCTTTCTCCAAAATTTCTAGGGCATATATCCACTGTTTTAAATATCGGCCGATAATCGATATTATCAGCCAAGTTATCGGATTTGGGAGCTCTCCGCTAGGATAAATTGGATTTTTAATCGGTTATCGTTTTTGTAGGTTTATCGGCGATTTATCGGCGTTATCGGCACTTATCGGCCGATAAGTAAGACTTTTTTATCGGGATTATCGGGATTATCGGCCCATTTTGACTAACATTATATTTTTTCAAGGCTATGATGCAAGTTTCGCTTTCTACAATTGGTTAATGATTCTAAACATGATGATTTACATTTTGGTATGTTTATATTTCATTAAGCATGATTAGATTATATTTTTTAATTGTTATATTATATATACACATCATCCAGTATATCACTCCGATAAATACTACTTATCCCCGATATATCCCGGATTTCCGCTATCCGATAAGGATTTTGGCTGTCCGATAAATCCCCGATAACCGATATTTAAAACCTTGCATATATCCTACTTAAGTTCTGTAAGGACTGTATCCTTCATTAAGTTAACCACTATCATATTTAACTTAATTGTTTCTTGACAAGTTCTCTTCAATCTCTAGTCCTAATATTACCACTTCTTCTAATTAGTGCATTTTGGCCCTATCGGCGGAAGGATATAGTATAAATTGTTTGGCTCAATCGAAGAGAATGATATCAAAGGTTTCCTCCAGAAAGTATAATAGGGTCATGGTTGAAAGATTGCCTACATTTTGTTTTTTGCAATTAGAAATTTAACAACGATACAAGTTTAAACTGATAAAAACATAAAGCAGAAAGAAACCATTCATCCAAAAAGTTACCTGCATATGTAGATCAAGAAGATGAAGGTTTGTGACGACAGCCCTAACAATACTCTCCCTAGCAGACGAAAACTCCTGCCTATCCCAAAGAGTCAAAATCGCAATTATGGATGCTGAAGCCCATTCCGGTTTCCCACCAGGCACATCAGCCAAAGACAGCATATTAATCCCCACCTCAAAAATCAAGGGCGGATCCAACGAGCTCAAAAATGGCAACAAATGAGACACAACATCCGAAACCCCAACAACCTTCTCAGCACTCTCCACACTCTCCACCACATTGCTCTTCCCACCCTTCGAAAGCTTCCGAAAAACCTCCACCGACCCTGAAGCCATAGCTTTCGCAGCATAAACCAACGGGAAAACCGTAACCCTAAAGCTCTCAACCGGCAGGATCAAAGATCTCGCCATCAAAGCATTCCTCTTCTTCCAAACGAAATCAATCGCCGACACCACCCAATTTGACCTAATCGCAAGCGAATTCTCACTATCGATCAGCTTATCCCCTGCCAACCTACTCATCCTCTTCGATTCAAACTCCTGAAACAGACGTCCGATCGACTCGAACGCGATCTTCGACACGATATCAGATCTATCCAGCATGTTATTCCCAATCCTTGCCCACCAGTTCGAAACCCGATCCAGCAGACTGACAGAATTCTCACACAGAAGCACGAGGTCATCTCGCGCGAGAATGCAACCTAGGGTTTCGGTGATCGAGAAGCGGAGGTTGTCGCTTTGGGAGTCGAAGCACTTGGAGATCTCCTTGTTGGAGTCGGCGATGAGCTTGGCGAGGCGGTGGCGGAGGGCGTCGTTCGAGCGGAGGTCCGCTTGGATTTGGGCGATGAGGATGTCCATGGATTCCTAGGGTTCGAGGATTTTAGCGCAGATCTGGCATCCAAATGGAGCTCGAGGTAGTTGAAGATGCAGCATTAGTTCAAAAGAGAGGAAGACGAATGGGGCTAAGTAGCACTTACAACCTCATAGGTTCATTCACTACGCACTTACACCGTCTATAACCAGCGTCTAACCCGTGCTTTGCTCTTTTCTAAGCTGCATTTTTAACGGGCTCCCTCTGAAAAAGTTTAATACATTTAGTTTAATTATTTTACGATTAAAATTAGAAATCATATCTACTATTCTGCACTTAAAAAACTCCTGTCAAGAACACGGTAAATTACTGTAGCATAAGCAATAATTTGTTAGACTTTTGGTTCATGACAAGACAATTTTGTCTTTGTGAATAGTCCAACATCGGAAAATTAGAAGAAGTTCAAAAAGTTTATAATGGTTCACATCTCAATGGGCTTTGAGTTAGTGTTTTGGGCCTACTGTTGTTTGGGCTGTTGCTCCACACACGCGCGCACGCACGCCACGACACGACACGTTTTACACAAGTTTGTAACGGGACACGACACGACACGTTTTACACAAGTTTGTAACGGTTGCGGGAGTTATGGAAACATATAACAGACGCGAGATTTCTGTGTAACGTCTGCGGACTACCAGCGACGGTTAAGAAGAGCAAGGGCTATATAAAGAGGTGAAGCTCATTCGGAAGAAACACAACAACAATTTTCTCAAATACTATTTACTTATATTTCGGGCAGCTATCTTCGTCTGAGCAAAAGCTCTGCTACTCGTGCTCGAGTATAGAGGTCAGCCGTTTCCGGGGGCTTTTACCGCTAGGGGGTGAGGATCGACTGCGCCAGGACGAAAAGGCGGGTCCTCTATCTTCTAGGGCAGTGAATCACGACTGCACCCGTTCAGGCCTGGTGTTCTAACTCTTTTATTTTTAGTTTTATAATAATTATTTTAATTTTTAACAGCAATCTAGAAGATAGATAATAATTTTACTATTAATTTAAATCTGCATTTTTAACCTATAGTTAACTGTTTTAATTTGTTAACTAATTTTGCATCTAAATTAGTAGATAAAAAAATTATTTTGATGCTTCTGTACTCAATTTCTGTATCTGTCAGAAACAAAAAATCTTTAAGTAAACCGGTTCAAGTTTTCTTGGATTAGTAGGTGTCTAAGGCAAGGTTTAAGGGTTGCATAAAGCGCTTTGCAAGAAACGAGGTACTTAATAGATCTTTGATCAACCTCTAGTACTATCCTTACATGGCCAAACTACCCGAGTAAAAGTTTAATCTTTTCACTTTCAGAGTTTTTGGTTAAGAGCAGGTTTAATTAAGTTTCTGGTCTAGTAGTATTGACAAAATTCTTTACCCGTTCAGATTCCATCTACCTAGACTAGTAAACTCAAATTGGACTTATGACAATTCCTGATCATTCAAAAAGTGTCAAACCTGAGAAGTTCAACGGTGTCAACTATAAACGGTGGGCTAATCAGATGAGATACTGGCTCACTACCTTAGGTCTATTATCTGCTATTGACACTCCTGAGTCTTCTACTAGTGGTTCTCAACCTTTGACTCCTGATCCTGAATAGCCTGCTCCTTCCACTTCTGGTTCTGGTGCTAGCTCCTTTTCTAGCTCTATGAAACCAGAAGAAATCAATTATCATTGTTATCATAGGATTCTTAGTGCACTTGTGGACAACCTTTATGACATATACTATGAGTTCAAAAGTACAAAAGACCTATGGAATGCTCTTGAAGCAGAATATGGCTATGATGATGCCGAAATTCTGCGTTTTACCTCCTCCTCCTTCAATAAGTTCATGATGGTTGATGACAAGACCATTAATGAATAAATTCATGAATTCCTAGATTTCCTCCATCATCTCCAATCAAAAGGAAACACTTTTACTGGCGATTATAAAGTTTCCTGTTTGATTGATAAACTTCCTCCCTCCTAGTCTAGATTTGTTAGAGATCTCCGACACAAGCAAGAAGATCTAACCTTAACTGAAGCCCTCAAGGCTATTCGTATTGAAGACCAGCATAGGCAAAATTCCAAAACCAAGAATGAGTCAAAAACTAAAGTAAACTTGGTAGAGGATAAGCCTAAATCTAGGAATTTCAAACCCAAAGGGAAGAAATTCAAGAAAAACCAACAATCTTTTAACAAATCTTCCTTCAAATCAAATCCCAATTCTTCCAGCCATAAGTCTGATGGAAAGTTCTGTTTTGTCTGTGGTAGAACCAACCACAGGGCTCCCAACTGTTTCTTTCGGAAGAAGGAACCGGCTAAACCTGCTCCTAAAGGAAATGGTTCCAACAAAGTTAATATGATTGAAGAGAATCCAACCTCCTTCAGGTTAGCCTCCTCATCTCATCTTGTAAATTCTCTAACTTCTTCCACTTATTGGTATTTGGATTCCGGAGCAAATATTCACGTCTGTAATGATCGCTCTTGGTTTTCAAATTATCAGGAATCACGTGGAGGAAGCATAAGCTTAGCAGATGACTCTACTAAACCAATAATAGGAAGTGGACGTATAGAGCTCACCATGACTTCTGGGAAAGCTCTTTATCTGCAAGGCGCTTATCATGTTCCTTCTCTCCGTCGCAATCTGATTAGTAAATCTCTTCTTCTTAGAGCTGGTTATAGGATTGTAAAAGAATCCAATAAATTTGTGATTACAAAGAGTAATCTCTTTATAGGAAAAGGTTTTACCTGTAATGGGCTTTTCAAACTCAATGTAATCAATTCCAGTTATAATGAAATTTCTGAGTCTTCTCTTATACAAATTATTGAATCTTGTGATGTCTGGCATGGACGACTTAGACATATCAATTTTCAAACTTTACAGAAAATGATCAAATTGAATCTTATTCCTAAATCATCTTTTGACCTCTCATCCAAGTGTGAGATTTGTGTTCAAGGGAAACACACTAAAAAACCCTTCAAGTCTGTAACTAGAAACTCTGAACCCCTCGAATTAATTCATAGTGATGTGTGTGTCTCGAACCGAGTTCTCACCTGAGGGGGTAGGAGATATTTTGTGACCTTTATAGACGATCACTCCGGATATCGTTACACCTATCTTCTCAGAACTAAAGATGAAGTCTTAGATAGGTTTAAGGTGTATAAAGTTGAATCTGAGAACCAACTTGACAGGAAGATCAAGATTCTAAGATCTGATCGTGGGGGGAGTATACCTCAAATCATATGACTGTATATTGCCAAGAACACGGTATTATTCATGAGGTTACTGCTTCCTATACACCATAGTCTAACGGGGTAGCTGAACGAAAGAACAAAACCCTAATGGTCATGGTAAACTGTATGTTACTCAGTTCAGGAGCACCTGAAAATCTCTGGGGTGAAGCTCTTCTCTCTGCTGGTTTTATTCTCAATAGGATTCCCCAGAAAAATTCTGATACAACTCCTTATGAATATTGGAAGGGGAGATCTCCTAATCTGAACTTCTTCCGAGTTTGGGGTTGCTTGGCTAAGGTAGCTATTCCCGAACCTAAGAAGAGGAAAATTGGTTCCAAAACTATTGGTGCTGCTTTCATTGGATATGCACTAGATATCCATGTTAATAGATTTCTAGTCATTAACTCTGAAATCAGTGACATATCCAACAACACTATCATTGAAGCTAGAGATGCAGTCTTTTTTGAAAATATATTTCCTTTCAAATCCAAAATCTCAGAAAATCCTAGTTCATCTCTTCCTTCCGATTTACCATCTTCCAGCTCTTCTCAGTCTTTTGATATTGAACCTCGAAGAAGCAAAAGAGGTAGAATTCAAAAGGATTTTGGAAAAGACCTCTTTACATTTCTTGTTGAAGGTGATCCAAGCTCATTCCAAGAAGCAATGGATTCACCTGATTCTCCTTTCCGAAAAGAAGCCATTGATAATGAGATTAAATCTATCATGGAAAACCATACATGGATACTCACTGACTTACCTCCAAGTTGTAAACCTATTGGTTGTAAGTGAATATTCAAGAAGAAACTTAGAGCTGATGGTTCCATAGATAAATTTAAAGCTAGATTAGTAGCTAAAGGCTATACTCAATAAAAGGGCATTGATTATTTTGATACATATTCTCCCGTAGCCCGAATCTCAACTATCCGAGTATTATTAGCATTTGCTGCTATCCATAAGCTGATCATACATCAGATGGATGTCAAGACTGCTTTCCTAAATGATGATTTAGATGAAGAGATCTATATGTACCAACCTGAAGGCCTCATTGCCAAGGGTCAGGAAAACAAAGTCTGCAAACTTGTTAAATCTCTATATGGTCTTAAACAAGCTCCTAAACAATGACACCAGAAATTTGACAGAGTTATTGCCCACTATGGTTTCACAGTGAATGAACACGACAAATGTGTTTATTCAAAAGTGATAAACAATGACTATGTCATCCTCTGTCTCTATGTTGATGATATTCTTATCTTTGGAACAACTCTTGAACTAATTTGATGATATTCTTATCTTTGGAACAACTCTTGAACTAATTTTAAAAGTTAAGAATTATCTTTCCAAGAATTTTGACATGAAAGACTTAGGTCTTGCTGATATGATACGTGGAATGAAAATCTCTAGAGATACCAGAGGAATATCTTTGAGTCTTTCGCACAGTATTGAGAAAATGCTGATCAAATTCAACTATCATAACTCTAAACCTGTTTCCACACCCTATGATTCTTCTATATCCTTGAAGAAAAATGAAGGTGAACCTGTATCCCAACTGAAATATTCTCAGATGATTGGATCTCTTCTATACATATCAAACCGAACCAGACCCGATATAGCTTATGATGTAGGGAGACTGAGTCGGTATACCAGTAACCCTAACCTAGATCATTGGTCTGCCCTAGAAAGAGTATTCAAATACTTGAAAGGGACAGTTGACTATTGCTTGACTTACACTGGATACCTTGATGCTATTGAAGGGTATAGTGACGCCAATTGGGTCGCAGATTCCAACAGTGTAAAGTCAACATCTGGGTATGTATTTCTTTTTGGTGGTGCTGCTGTATCCTAGAAATCATGTAAGCAAACAGTAATTGCCAGGAGCACCATGGAATCTGAGCTGATTACTCTTGATACCACTTGCAAAGAAGCAGAATGGTTAAAAGATCTACTT